AAAAATCTAATTATATCTTTTATATTTATTTATTTTTTTAATTTAATAAATTCATAATTATTTTATAAAGTTTTATATAATTTTTTTGTAGATATATTTTGATTAAAAAAATTCAAATTTTTTGTCAAATACCACATGTGATATCTACAACTAATTCATAACATTTTTCATCATTTTTTTTCTAATTTTTAGATCCATGTTTTGAACCACAAGGGGCGGAAGGCCATATAGGCCTTTAGGGGCCATCGCCCCTGGGCTTTTTGATTCATTAAGGGGGTGTTTGGGTAAGCTTTTCAAACTGACTTATTAACTTATTTCAGTTTGGTACCGGAGATAAGTCATTTTGAAGTGTTTGGGTAAAAAAAAAAGTGCTTATACCGGTACCAAACCGGTAATAAGTCGTTTTTGATAAGTCAATCCCCCCTGACTTATCAAAATCAACTTATTAACAATTTACCATTTTAACCCTTACCTTCCTCTCAAGCGACCGACTGATGAATTTGTGAAATCGAACCAGAGAATCTCAAACCAGAGAAATCGAGGTCTGTCCATCTCACCAAAGCCTCTGTGAAGCCTGTGAAATCGAATCGAATGTCATCTTGGAGATGGATGTCGTCTTGGAGACGGAAATCGGTGCCAAGAAACTCGCCGATGCAGAGGTTCTCGGGGAGAAACCACTCACAGGGTCTCGCGATGACAACCTCTTCCACGGCGGGTGCAAACACGGATGAACACTAGAGAGGAATCTGGAGAAAATAGGGTTTGGAGTGACGAGGATGGAGACGATGAACACTGGAGGTTGATTGGAGGACCTTTTTGGTAATTTTACATCTATAAGCCAAATTTGCCAAACACTAAAAACCAACTTATCAACTTATTGCTTTTTGGTACCGTTATAAGCTAATCCAAACACTTTTTACAAAACTCCAGTTTGATACCACATAAGTTAATAAGCACTTTTACAAAAAAGCATAAGTTGTTTTAAATAAGCAATCCCAAACACCCCCTAAGTATACATATTTTAGGTTTTTAATTGTTAATTCTAATTTTTTTAATCTATCCCCCCGACATTGGAGTCCACTAAGCTTTTAATCCAGTCCAACTAAAGTCTAAAGTTGTTGATTCTTCATCGCCACATGCCCACATGACCATATTGACCGACAGACTTACGCGAGCAACTTATCAACAAAATTACAATCTTCAGTCTCCATTATTGAAATTACAGACCTGTTGATATATCCTCCCTCCCCTCGTTGACTACTCTCAAGTGAGTCGAGTCTCGACCCCCAACCTCTCGCGGTCTCACCCTCTCCAGTCTCCAATCTCCATGGAAGAGCAACATGAAGAACCAAATCCGAATGCAAGTGGAATCTCTGTGATTTTAACTTCATCAAATAATCCGATTATAACCCCTAAATCACAGGGGGGTTTTCATTCTATATTTCTATTCAAGTTTTAAGATGCTATTGTTGAAATTATGTGATCAATGACTAGTTGCGTACTCGCGCAATGCGGCGGGAGCCATAAATTTTAACGATTTTGAAGTTCCACTGGTTTTATAAGATAAAATTTAACGATGATATAGGTTACACTTGGTCTTTACATATTAATACAATTTGAATAAATAAGAGTTATGGTTCCAATTACAGATTATATATGAAAAAAGTTGTATGACAATTTATAATCCAATATATTTAAAATCTAATATATTTAAACGACTCCACAAATGTGTTCGATTTACACCAAGAGGAAAGAACCAAGAAACTTGAGTTTTAAGATAAACACTCAAAACCAATAAAGAAAACTACAAATTTAACAGATCATAAACCATGAAAAGACCAGAAAAGATGAGTTTTAGAATGAAATTTCAACTGTTTACTCTCTTTCTTATCTAGAAACTCAGATTAAGGTTGAATTAATACATGTATATACATATATATATATATATATATATATATATATTTCAAAAAAACCCAAGAACATATTAATTCAGAACATATTTTATAGTGCAATTTGGACAATCTAACCCCAAAATATATAGTGTATATATATATATATATAACTATAAAAGTATAAATCGTAAATATTAAAAATATTTTTTCACAATATATATATAATATATAATAATATAATTAAGTCAAAAACTATTCAATATTAGACTCATTTCGAAGGTATTAAAGAGACGATTATAATGGTGTAACTTGTAAAAATAAAAATATATTTTTTAAACATGTTTTAATTGATATATAATTATGTATATTAATTCGATAAAGGTTTAAAATGAAACATTTAAAAGTAAATGACGTAAAATAAATTAATTAGCTAATTATAGGGATATAAAGTGTAAATTTAAAATTATAATTTTAAAAAAATCGGTTGTGAGAGGGTGAGTGCATGTGAGGGGAAGAGTGCATGTGTGAGGAGAGGAGGGGGTGAAAAGGTGAAAAAATTATATAAATGGTATGTTGGTCATTTATTATTTTAAGACTTTAAGACTTTTAAGACTTTTGCTAAATTTGATTTATAAAATAGTATAGATAAGGTTCAAATTTGTTTGAAATTGTTTGATACTTTGATTGGGTTTAAAATGCTATTACTTGAGCCAATGAGCCTTTCAAGTAGTTGCATTTAGAGGTCACAATGAAAAGTTAGAGTTCATTAACGGGGGGAATTTTTCATGAAATGTTGGAGGCACTTGGTAAGTTTAGTACTGAGCTTAAAGAGTTATTTTGTGTGCTCCCAAATATGCATCATACACATCACCTTTGATTCAAAAAGAAATTTTGATCTTATATCAAATAAGGTGAGACAAATAATTTGTGAGGAGATTGGTGGTTGAAGGTTTTATTTACTTGTTAGCGAAGTACGAGATGAGTCTCATAAAAGAGCAAATGTCTATTGTTTTGAGATTTGTTAATAAAGAGTGATTAATTATAGAGCGTTTCTTTGGACTTGTTCATGTATGTGATACTACAACATAAACACTCAAGGTGTTGAGGATTTCAAGGCCGCGAAAGATCGACGGGTTTCACTTTGATTAACGATGTTTGACATTTTCATACTTGACGTCTAGTTTTTTAGAGTTCTACTATGTTTTAACTTTGGATTATGTGTTTTTCGTATTTTTGAAAATATATAATATATCAGGTTCGGCCCCTGGAACCACATACGATAAACTTCGTTTAACATATGATCTGTGATCCATTGTATGAATCTAAACTTGTCATGAAAAAAATGCACCAATTGGATTGCAACTCATACATTAGGAATGAAAACTAAAAGTTACACGTTTAGTGATATTAAATAACTGATTAAAAATCATCAACTTGAAAAACATAAATAACTGATTAAAAAATAATCAATTTGAAAAACACAAATTGAAACAGATGAATTTTTAAAAACGGGTCACGGTTCTGGTTGCACGGATTAATCCATCGGGTCAAACATTTTTTTTAATTTTAATTTTAGATATATATTTTCAAAATAATTATTATAAATTAAAAAAAATCCATTAGTAAGTTATTTAAAAAATATTTTTACATTTTAAATGTACATTTAAGCCTTATTTTCAATACAACATTTTCAATAGAATATGTTCTTTTATGTGTTTGACATGCAACCTAGTTGGTAAAATAGCACAATTATTTTGTATAAATATATTATAGGTCTCAGGTTCAATCTCGTCTCTGTTAACCTTATATGTTGAATGAGGTAAAAAAAAATACCCTTTTTTACCTCATCTATTGAATGAGGTAAAAAAATACCCTTTTTTACCTCATCTGTTGAATGGGGTAAAAAAATACCCTTTTTTTCATATTGGTGTCTTTAAAGATGGTATGACAATATATGGAACCCCCTATTCACTCTCCAAAAGAGTTGTTGAGGGAAAAAAGGGGACATTCCAACATATATACAGGAGAAATGGTTCAACTCTACCGGATGTGAAACTTCAACATGCGGGTTTCGAGTGAGGTCAATTGGGGTTGTCGGTAATCAGTTTTCTGTACAAATAGAATATGTTCTTTATGGTAGCAATAAAAAAAGAAGCCAAGTTTTTATGTCATAAGAAAATTGGTTGTTCGATCCTAGACTAGAATAGTCTATTTATACATCCGTTTCTTAACGATCCAAGTTTTTATGACATAAGATTAGGTTTAAACGAGAACATATTCAAAATAAAAAGAACATAAGAATGTCTGTATCACATGTGATTTTAGGCTAAAAACACATGATTCAGGCTCGGGTCAACATTGTGCCAAGTGGAAGGAAAAAAAGAAAATATTTTTTCATGTTCTTGAACATGAGAGAAAAGAAAGAAAAAATGTCAATTTTACTAATATACCCTTTAAAAATATATCATTTAGAAGTAAAGTTTTGGAAGAAAAGTTATCGTTGTTTTCTTTCTTTTTCTCTCCTAAAAAGTTTTAAAAACACGATTTTTTTTTACTTTCATATGATTTTGCTAACTTTCATTTTTTTTTCTTCTTCATAAAAATGGTTTCGATAACACAGTGTAAGGAAAACTGGTCCTATAAAAACATTTATAACAGATTTTCTAAAATCGATAATGTCAAAATCTAAAAAAAAATACATTTCTATGCAACAGATTTTCTATTTTAAAAATTACATAATTAAAATATTCAATACAACTTATAAAATATTATATCTGTCTTTTAAACATTTAAATTCAAACATTCTCATTGGTAAAATGAATAAAAAGTCATTTCTCTCTTATAAATAATTATTTTTAAATAAATCTTTAAAATTTATTTATATTTTATTAAAATAAAAATTTTCAATATCTCGATTTTAAAGAATGGTCACACCCTATTAACAAAAGGTTGACTAACGTGTAGACCTTTTATGGGGCCAATCAACGGTTGAGATTTAATCCGGAAACTAGTAATTGCAGGTCTGGAAAAGTAAATTTACAGGCCCAGCGTATAAAACAAACTCTGTTGAGTTTTCCCTCGCTGGCCCCAACTGCGAGAAAGACTGAAACAAGAAGAAGAAGAAGAAGAATTCAGAAAATGGAGAGGAAGAAAGGCATGAAGAACATCTTCAAGAAGCTTCACATAGGCAGCAATCATGATCCCAATCGATCATCAAACGATTCATCATCATCGTCGTCGTCTTCGTCTTCGTCTTCATCGTCTTTCGCCACCGCCGACCAGCGTACACCTTCAACTTTCACTGGACAAACCACTGCTCAGTCTCCATCTACTGCTGCAACTCCTCCTTCATCGTCTCCGACCGTCAATGTAACGACGCGTCCACAACAAGATTACTACTCGTCAGAAGAGGAGTACCAGGTCCAGCTAGCCCTAGCTTTAAGCGTGTCAAATTCGGAGTCTCGGGGTGATTCTGATAGTGATCAGATCCGTGCTGCGAAGCTGTTGAGTTTAGGGAATCACTCTAGCAATAATCATGTCCCCGATAGAGGTGATGCAGCAGCTGATAAGTTGTCTCGGCAGTACTGGGTAAGTTGAACCTCTCTAATCGATACGGTTTACATCATGTTGTATAAAGAAATAAAGAATTATGTAATCTTTGTTCTGTAGCCCATAAACTGACTATAGTTTTGACTATCTCCTATGGAATAGGTTAAAGAATCCTACAAAGTGAATGTTGATTGTATATAAATTCACCAAGTGTGCGTGCGAGTTTTCTTTTCATTTGATATGGGTACGTTGCTATCTTAGGATCTATGCTTAATGACATAGGAAAGTAACATGCTGAGAATTCTACACAAGCACATTCATGGATTTGGGATAGGTTATCCAAACAGCGGCATTCCAGAAATAATTGAATATCCTTTTATAATTATCTGAATTAAGAAATTGAAGTATTCAGGGAGACTGCTTTGGTTTTAGGTATTTGAGTCTTACATTGGATTTATTAATTTGAGCATCATTTAGGCTATTTTTGTTGGCTTAATTGTCTCCTTCTTCCAATTATCAGTTGGGGTGAGAAGTGGTGGATAATAATAAAAATAATCTATAAAAATTTGTAGCAAATTCTATTAACATGGAAGGTTGGTGTAACCCTTTGGTCTGGTTTTGCAGTTTTAGTTATTTCTTTTGACATGATAATGGCAGGGGCTGTGAAGAGATAATATGTGTTTAGTTGTCGCAGTGGGATGAGTGAGTCTTTGTGGTGTCATGATTGTGGGTTTTAGGTGGTAGGGTTGGGGTAATCTTGGAAAATTTGGTGGTGCCTCTTGATTACTTTGAAAAACCTACAGAAAGCACCTTTCAGGTTTGCAAACCCTGATAGTTGATAGCCATAGCATGCTCCACACCATAGCTACACAACCTATGGTGGTATGCAAGTATGGATGACTAAACTCCAAAGGGACACATCCTTCTATATAGTTGTTGGTAACTCAATTTTCACAGGTTTAATTAACCTTTACAATTTCTCTTCACTATAATCGAAAATACAACATAGGAAGAAGAAAGAGAGAAATTATCCACATCTAGATATGAAGATGTTACTAGGACTAGTCGACTTGTGTAGTAAAGATTCTAATATGTATACATATATATGTGTGTGTGTGTAATGAACAAATGTAAAAAACATTCCTTATAAATTAAGTGATCGATAGTCACACTCTGATATGGTATTAATAATCATACAAATATTTTTACACTTGTATGAGTTTAATCTTTGTCTGGTATTGTCCATTTACGGTTTTCTACATGAGTTGACTTACACTTTTTGGTCTACTAGGATTATGGTCTCCTTGATTATGAGGAGAAAGTAGTAGATGGCTTCTATGATGTATATGGGCTTTCCACAGAAATGGTAGCCCAAGGGAAAATGCCTTCTCTGTCAGATCTTGAAACAGACACTGGGAGTTCCGGTTTTGAAGTTATTGTAGTTAACAGAGCAATTGATCCTGCCCTAGAAGAGCTGTTGCAAGTAGCCCACTGTATTGCATTGGACTGCCCTCCTGCCGAGGTCAATCTTTTAGTGCAGAGGCTTGCTGAACTTGTGACAGAACACATGGGTGGACCAGTGCGGGATGCTAATATCATCTTGGCAAGATGGATAGAAAGAAGCACAGAGTTGAGGACGTCACTCCATACTAGTGTATACCCTGTTGGATCCTTACGAGTTGGGTTGTTACGTCATCGTGCTTTGCTTTTCAAGGTCAGCCGTCATCCTCAATTTTTTAGTCTTTTGTCTTATTGTCTGTAATCCAGACATTACTTGGTTTCAATTCTGTATATCTTGGCTATTTTACTAGGTAAAACTATATCCACCAAGTAGTACATGCATACTGCAACATTTACAATTGATGTGCCAAGGACATGCATTTTCTAGTTCCTTTTTTGTACTTTAGCAATCATTCTCATGTATGATAGCTCTACCAGGAACTGTGGATATACCCCTATTGCCTTAAATGCTCCTACTTGTTTTAATCTTAACTCCTGTTGTTTACTGTGTGCACTCAATTTACTTGTTTGAATGTTATTTCATGTTGATTAACGTGTGTACGTCCCTCCCAAGTTTGTCTCAACCTTTTCATCAACTCCTCAAAACTTCTTTTCTCATTTGCCAATCTTACTCTTTGCAGAAAGTTTTTGTATCTGGGGGTCTTATCAGAAACAACCTGTTTACATCTGGGGGTAGAGGAATGATTGCATAATCTTACCCTCCCCAAACCCCATTTTGCATGGGTTTACTACGTTCTTTGATTTGGTGTATAATCACTGGAATAGTTATGAGGTGACCTTGTGTATGCCTTTTAGGAGATATTAGGTATCATTGTCCAATGAAAATCTTCACATCCTCCCAATCAAGTTAAGGTATGTTGTATATATGCAATAGAGAATTCCCGGTGCAGTCATCGTGCAAGATAAATATACATCAGAATGTCTTCCAACTTCGAAAGTTAATTTAGCAAGACCGTGTTATACCAATCTACTTTGTTGCTTCCAGTAAGGAAAAGCTTATGTTCCATTACTTAGGAATAATCCTTTTCCCCAAATTGTGACTAAGAACATGCTACTTAATATGCAAGACGAATGACACAAATGTGCAATCATCACAGAATGGAAGGATCTTTTTCAAAACATAACAAACACAGAAATAAAATTGCAAAATGATCCAAGATGGATGATCGAGCTAATGCTTGATGAGTTGGTGTTTATCGATAAAATGATAGCATACTAGTTTTTCATTGCTACACTCTAAAGTCACAGGAGTTGAGTGGCACGGAGAGAGAAAGCAAAGACTAGAAGTTGAGAAAGAATAGTCTCAAAATTAAGAAATCACATGAGGAAGAGTGAATGGGCTATTCCCCCAGACATGGTATAGAACACTAGAACAGCATATTGCCTGTTGTCACTCTTGCTACGTCACCTCTATCTCATCTCTCCGTTTCTCTTTTTTCACCTAATTCCTTTTCCCTTTCTACTTGATTTTAGGCAAATTATATCTGATTGTGTTTTTTGCCTGGAAATTGGCCTAAATCTAAACAGGCCACTTTTGTTTCTTCTGAACTTACCATGATTTAAATATTATCAAGTAATGCCAAGGAGCTGATAGACAAGCATAGTCCTTGAGGGGCCAAAACAATTCTATTTCCTGTTCCACCTCAGATAGCCCAACTCTGGCCTCTAACCTGGCTCACACACTCTGTATGTCGTTTCGTTTTCTGGTGTTGCATCCTTAATTTGCACAGCATATGAAGTGCATCACTTTGAGCTTCAAGCACAGTGGTATATGCAAGCCAAAGGAATTTAGACTATACAAAGCATTTCACTACCATATCAGCTGTGAAGGTGCTAGTTTGTCCTTATTCTTTGCAACTTCTACAGGTATACATACATAATAGTCGACACACACACACACACACACTCTCTTAATAGATACAAATTTCAGTGGACATTTTGTAATATGATTTGGGTTCTAAACGAACATACATCAAGCCTCAATCTGATTTAGGCTTGTTGAATACAAGTATAATAGTCAAACTACGAAACTATATGGAGGAAAGTTGATTACAGTTTGATTGGAATAGTGTTGAAAAATCAATTAGTTTTGTGTTGGAATGTATGTCTATGTCTGCGCAATTTGTTTGACATTGTGTTTGAATGTGTGTGGTATGGTGTTTGAATATGTTTATGGTTTATGTTGGTAAACAGAAGCGGTGGTTCTCAGCTGGTTGATTTGTCATTCATTGATCAAGATTCAAATATTTACTTCAACCCCTTTAATATTTGGCCAAGATTTGTAATTAGGATATTTTTATTCAAAATAATATTCTTTTCCACATGACATGTTAACCAATAAACTGGTTTGGAGGGTGAAAACGAACACAAATAATTGTTGGAGGATCTTATTTATGCATTTTGCTGTATTTTGTGGACTGCATTTAGATTTTTGAGTGAAGTTCCATTTGTTTTTCTTCAAATAACTCTATATAAGTCTGCATCAGAATAAAGTTGATTGCGAAACAAATTTACATCATAAGAAAAGGTTGCTACTAATGGTCTAGAGCTAACAGATTAATATGCAACACATACACATCTCTAGGAATGGTTTTCGTGGAAGTATCCAGGCCTTTGACTGGTAGGCATTTTAGAATCACATGCATCTGCATTTTGTGAGATAGCTAATTGGGCCCAGCCCTATCTTCCACTCTTTTGGGCCATCTGGAATAAACATTCAACACTTTGGGCTTGGGAAAGATTGGATCAGATTAGATGGATACGTATCATTACTCCCTCCTTCCAATAAAGTCTTTTCGTCAAGACTTGTATCGTAAATTGACCCTTGATTACGTTTGCATCCTCCCACGTCTCTTCTTCCCAAGACTGCTCCTGCCAATGTATTAGCCATTGCTCCACTGATTTCCCACCTTGTACAACTGTACGTACCGCACAAATCTCTTTGGGAGACGGTAAATCTTTGTCATCTAATTCTAGCTCGGGAGGTAAAAATTGGGCAACCGTAGGCGACAAAACAACTTTTTTTAGTAATGAGATATGAAATACCGGATGTATACGTAACGATGGAGGTAACTCCCGTTTGTAAGCAACCGGTCCAGTCTTTTCGATAATCTTGGACAGTCCAAAGAATCTAGCTGCGAGCTTTTGATAAATTCGTTTGGTCACAGTCATTTGACGGTAAGGTTTCAAAGTAGAGTTCCGCCTTTTTGATCCATCCTTGAGGATCGAAACCAAAAAACTCAGGCAACTTCACCTTCTTTGTTGCCCAAGGAAGGTGATCGTTCGATAATTGCTCCCCTCCCTTATCAAAGGAAACGTTGGATTTCTTTTGAGAGAAGAAATCCGATTGATCCTCCTCAAAAATATCGGACCGTTCACCAGTATTGGTACCCGATGGCTTACCTTGTTGTTTCATCCAATTCATCACAAATTTGCGAAACTCAGCTTGTTCCACTTGATCCGATTCCACAAAATGTATTGCCGATTTGATCTCAGTCACATCTGATTGAAGTTTCTGAATCTGTTCCTCATGATGATCCAATCGAGCTTGTTGAGAATGAGTTTCCATGGAGAATTCCTGCAAATCAACGGTTGGTCGGACCAATGATAGGAACTCAAACAATTTGGAAGAATGAAAGGATTAAAAAGCAAGGGAAATCAGCAATTGATTATTAACGAAATTGGAACTTACCATTGAAAGAATAAACACAACTCTAGGGAAACTTCCCTCTCTCAAAGCCATAGCTAAGAGCCTAACTCAATTAACAAGAAAAATCACAATGACCTCATGCTACCGACATTCCCCCCATTTATTAGACACACTTTCAATCTGAGATAGCTAATTGGGCCCAGCCCTATCTTCCACTCTTTTGGGCCGTTTGGAATAAACATTCAACACTTTGGGCTTGGGTAAAGATTGGATCAGATTAGATGGATCCGTATCAACCTCACAATAGACAAGATAGACCATAATAATAGGTATTATTTATCATAATTTACAGGTGCTAACACTTCTAATCTCCTGTGCTCAATTTTTTTTCTTAGTCTATATGGCCATGGGGTCACATTGACTTTTATCTTATCCTTTTACTCTTCTGAAGTGCAGGTATTGGCTGAAAGCGTTGGAATAACATGCAGGCTTGTCAAGGGTAGTCACTATACTGGTGTTGAGGATGATGCAGTCAACATCATCAAGTTGGACAATGGAAGGTAATATGCGGTCCTTTCACATATCCTATTCTAAATATTTACATGAAGATTGTACTTTTTCTGTTGTAACTTCATCTTAATGTCTTCATATCGAAGCCATAACAGTCAGCTCCCAGGAGTCATTATTTTAGCTCACAAATTTCATTTTATCTTATCTTCCCATTGTAATGATGGTGTATATTCTATTAGACCAAGTTAATTATTTGTCCTTATTTGATGTCAGGCATCTATTATATTTCCTCCACAATATTATCATGTTCTAAATCATCCTCAACAGTTTTCACACTTATGGTGCGGGTTTTATCTTTTAACTTGCTATTTTGATTTACTTTCTGGTACCATGTACCAAATTGGGTGGAATGATGTTGAGATCACTTAAAACTATCATACACCCGACCTAATTAAAAATTTCTGACAATATTAGCAATCTACACATAATCTCAATAAATCATTGTTCATGTTGTATTGCAAGGTTTTAATTCTTCGATCTTCTCTTTTCTTATTTGTGGGACATAAAGAGGTGGATAAGTTTCTTAAAAGCTTTAATTTCAACAGACCTAAAACCAGTTTGGAGAAAGAACTTGCATGTGTGTTCTTGAATGTAGTGAAAAAAGGAAGATGTTTATAACTAGTTTGACATGTTTAGTTATTCTTGTGTGTATGTGGCTCACTGCAAAATATGTTCACTTTATTTTTGGTTAGTTTTCAATGTGTAAATTGCATGTGTTTTTGCTTCTACTCCCAATTGTATAAAGTTTCTTGTATTTCCTGCAACTTGTATCTTTTTGATGAAACTCGGTTGATCTTTATTCCCTATTTCTGCATAATAATTATGCTTAAATGTTAGGATACAGTTTTCTTTTTCTGCTTCTAAATGTCTTCCCTTACCTTCAGCGAATTTCTGGTCGATCTGATGGCATCCCCTGGAACACTTATACCTGCGGATATATTCAGTGCAAAGGATTCTTCCTTGAAGTCATACATGCCAAAATCCAGCAAACTTCCAGGTGTCCAGTCAACTAATGATTTTGGACTTCCTTTGCGACCTGTTTCAAGCAATATTGGTCAGAACATTGAAGTGCAAGATGGTGTTGGTTCAGGTAGCATGTCTGGTTCCGAAAGGAAAGAACCTTCAAATTCAGTGGCAAGCCCGAGTGACACTGGTATTATTTCGTCTCCAGCAGGAAAACGAGCATCCCCTTCTAGTCAATTGGATCATATTCCCTCGTCCGCAATTGGCAGTTCTCTGTATAAAGGGGGTCGTGGGCCGAATGCAGCTGGTGGTGGCTTAAGGATGAATGTTAATATAGTCCCATATACACAGAATAGTGCAGAGGACAATAAAAATCTTTTCACTGAGCTCAACCCATTCCAGATTAAAGGATCCGGGAAGGCTTCGATGCAGACCAGTAATATGGAAAATAAAAATGAGGAGCTTCGTAGGGCAAAAAGTAACCAAGTGTCTGGTCGACCTCCTGTTCCACTAATGTGGAAAAACCGCCCTGCTATTAATGAGGTCCCCAGGAAAAAGGAGCATGATTATATAGAGGGCATCTCATTGAAAAACCATCGTGAAACTAATGATTCTACCATGCCAGCTTCCACCAGCTCAGCTGCACCAGGAAGAATACATTCTGATGGTTTGAAGTTGCGTGTTAATTTTAATGTGACTCCAAAAGAAAATAATGAGAGTACTTCAAATGCAGCTGAATCCGAAGCTGCGTGGGCTGAGTGGAAAAACTATAGATTGTCTTTGGAGGTGGTAGGTAACAATAGCAATGCTTTCCCTCGGAATAACAGGTTGGACCAGGGAAAAATGCATGAAAATAATGCGGTCGGTGGGAAAGATGTTAGAAAAACTTCAAATGATCGAGTCAATCTTAACAATCCAAAGCTGATGGGACCAGAAAGCTCATCCTCGTCAGTTGATTCTTTTCCACCTCAGATTGATCCTGTAATAGACGATGTTGGAGATTGTGAAATTCCATGGGAAGATCTGGTAATTGGTGAAAGAATTGGACTAGGTAACAATATAAAAGAGTGTGACTATATTATATTGTTTTTTTCTTCCTTGCATGGACCATAAGCTTCCTGGTTTAGGAGTCTCACACTCATGCTTCCAGATTCAAGTGGATATATTCCGCATTTCAACCCCCATATAGTTAGTGTGTACCCATGATCATCGTGTACTGTACATTACACTGCTTACCTCTCAGATTTAGAATGCACTGTTTGCTTCTTAGTTCCCTTTTTCTTATACTTTCTTATTTATTTCGATCTGTAGGTTCATATGGTGAGGTTTATAATGCTGATTGGAATGGCACTGTAAGTTTCTGTTTATCTTCTTAAGAAAATAAGTTTGTGGTAGTGTGGGAGAAGTTTTCAATGATCTACCACATAATTATTATGAATGATTTTCTTTCACAAAAAAAATGTAAATATATTGATTATTACCGAACGCATAGCCAAATGTGTCACTTCCTTCACACAGACTACTATGTTACCTAATTAGTTAATGTTTCTTTAAACAGGAGGTGGCAGTGAAGAAGTTCCTTGATCAGGATTTTTCAGGTGCTGCTTTAGCAGAGTTCAAGAGAGAAGTAAGTCCCGTAAGAGTAAATATGTAGGGATTGTTACTTTGTAGGTTAAATTGATCATCAACCATGGGTTGTACGAATCATGAAAAATGGCTCCTGCCTTATCATTGCAAGCATGGAAAACAGAAAGATAAGGTCAAGTTACGCAAAATATATTTATATATGTGTTGCATGCTAGCATATAATGCCATTGGTCTTAAAATCTCAAATGATTTAAAATCACTATTTTCATACCCCACACCCTCCTCCATATAACGCAGGCCTCTGATACCCTAACTACCAACTTCCCTAACCTCTCACTGTCTACCCATCCTACCTCCTACATCCTATCCACACTAGCTACAGGTCCCTACCTTAAATCTACTACCCTAGTCCTGTGATTGACCCTAGAAAAAAACAGGTGACAGAAAGAGTGTTTAGGTAAGTTCAAATCTGAAGTCTTACGAGGAGACCAAATGATTGATGTTGTATGGCACTAACAATGCCACTTGCTCCTATATGCAAATAAAATTAAGTACATAGACTGAAAGAATTAACAATCTGGTGGACAAATTTATCTATTGTTGGTTTAGTGTTTTTACTAGATCAAGGGTTGTTTGGGTACTTGTCTATTCCTTTATGAAAGAGATGGCTTGCAGAGCATAGAAGCTCACCTCTTAGTGTTTGACACCAGGTTAAATTCGAGGAATAAGTCACTAAAAATGAAGATGATAGTAAACCATATTTCTAGTTAGATATTTGCTTATTCAACTATGCTGTTTAAAAGATCTAGTTGGCTAGAAAATATTGAGATCTTTTGTTTGACATAGTTCCATGTTGCTTTCTGAATGTGTCTGACACTTGTTTCCAGGAATTTTATTTTGTAAAGAGTTACAAGGAAAATGAAACATAGAAAACTGAATGGTGACTATTGAAAAGTAAATCTGAAATGAGAAAACATGCCAGAAAATCCAAAATGCCAAAAAAAGGCAACTAATCAGTTCTAAGTGATAATGGAAGTTCATATGGATGGTTAGTTAGCATTTGCGTGGCTCTTCTCTGTCTGTAACCACTGATGTATATCCCCTTCTGTTACAAGTCTTACTCCATCTGTTATTGTATGCAAACTGACTTTATGGAAACTAGAGCTTCTCTTTTCCATCTTTGCCAACTAAACAATTTGTTTAGGATCACATTATCACACTATAAAGCAGAAATTTGTTTTAAGCATGTGAACTTTTGTTACAGGTGCGCATTATGCAGAGATTGCGCCATCCGAATGTTGTGCTTTTTATGGGTGCTGTCACTCGTCCCCCAAACCTTTCAATTATCACAGAATTTCTCCCAAGGTCGGTTTATTTTTGGTCTTCTATAGTTTTTGATATTCATGGAAAAAAGGTAACCCCCACCTCTTTCCTAGAATGTGATTTAATATAGGTTCTACTGCAGATCTTAAATTAGAATTACAGTTCCAATTTTAATCTTCACTTTTGAATGATTATGACAAAGCCAAAGTTTGACAATTCGGAACTATTAATTTATTAGTATATCAATGTGAAATGAGTTAGTGATGAACCAAAGTAAGAGGTCCTTTCTGTAATTCCTTGAAGAATAGAGGAAGAGTAGAAAAAGAACCACGCTTGAGTTAAATGAAAAGAAGCATGTTCTTTGTCGTAAACCGGATTTTTTTTTTCTGCTTTTGGTTGTTACACATCCTTTAATTCAGTGTGGAACTACAATAAATATATTTGCTGGACAAAAGGCTCCAATACCAATCTATGTAGGTCAGTTCTTTATGAGAAAGGAATAAAAGGAAAACAAACAAACCCAGGTCTCTAAGCGGCACATCTGTAATAGGATCTTTCCCACGACAAAATTAAGGCTTCACTGCAAAGGGACATTTATCCAATAGATGATAACACAGGCGACAGCAGTTGAGTATTGGCTCTCTGTTCTATCTTTTAAGGGAGTGGAAACCAGAATACTACAAAGGGGACATCATACTATGAGAGAAAATGCTTCAAATAATAAATAAAGTCTAATTATCTGTCGCCAGTATATGTTTTGTTTCTTATAGATATAGTTTATCAAATTTAAAATGCATTTTGGGAACAGTCTAGATATATCCTTTGTGTGTATATATGGCAATTTTCTCGGATATGTTGGACACAAGCACAAGATTCTAAATTAGCTAAAAGATTCAGCCACCACTTAACTTCTAGATGCTAGATTTTGCTTTTGTTTATATGGAGCAAACTTTTACAAAACAGCCTTATCAGGCATCACAAAAATTATGTAATGCAATCGATATCCAGTGCACTATTCCATTTATAGTTGCAGTCATTTAAATCTGGTTTACAGTATAATTATTAATGTCCTTAGCTGTTAACATGAATGGTTTTAGTCCATGGGTAGTAAAAAATGTAAATACCTTTGTATGTAGCCTTAAGCATTTAAGTACTGCATCTCTGGGTCGTTTTGATAGGCTACTCTTTCTGGCGGAAGAATATATTTTAACAATGTATGGGGGCTCAGGAGGGTTGAAGGATGCTGAAACGTTTCTTATCTGTTTATGGTTTGCCAACTTATCAAAGCCAAAAGTCTTTTTCATATCAATCCTGGTCATGTTGGATGTAATCTGCCAGTCTGTGTGCACAATCTTATTCTAACAAATTTTAACCAATATATAAAGTTAGAATTGTTAAACCGGGGGGGGGGGGGATGGGAGATGCGATGGGCATGTGTATGCTGTCATTTGTTTGAGGGTATATACTCTAATATACGTTGGAAAATCAATGAGGAAAGTGGTTATTGTAATAGGTCTTAAATTTGAAACAGGTTGACTGGAGAGAGAAAGAGATGGAGAGAGAGAGAGAGAGAGGGAGGGAGGAGAAAAAGAAGAGATAGATAGATGGAGACCAATGCCATTTCTACCTTCTTCTAGCCTTGGCATCCATGCCAGCTTCAGCTGTTCTCATGGGCATAGCATCTGTTTCCGCATCTCCTTATTAGGGCCTGTTTGTTGCTTAATAGGACTCGCAACTTATTTGGTCAGTTACACATGACTGTTTGGTAGTGGCTTAATGATATAGAAAGTGGCTTATTCAATAAGCTTCTAGGGGGGAGTATTTTGCTGAAAGCCAAGTTTTTTCCGAAGCTTGCTCCTCCCAATTAAAAAACATGTTTCTTCCATCTATGAAAAAACCCTCCCAAACAAAAAAGCTTCCCAATCTATTCAGACAAATTTATCCACACAGACAACTATACTCATACACGACTTAATGAAAAATCAACCAAACAGCCCCTTAGTCATCCCTCCCCTTGCACAAGATGGCTCATGATGGCCATGCTCCAGCAGACGTTTTCTTTCTGTAATGACAAAACATAGCTGTCTTATGCTTATCTTTTCTTGCACTAATAAAGAATTACAGTCACCATTTAAATACAAACGGGTCAGAAATAGACCCTCCCAGGTTAAGGAAAAATAAGTAAATATATATCTAAAAGATGTGTGGTACCTTCTTGAACCCATGTTGCCTTTGCAATTTTGTGAAGTCAAATGCATCCCTGTATGATGCACCAGGTTATTTAGGAGAATAACCTTTTGATAGATTTTTTTAAATCCATGACCTTTTGACAAAATTAAGATTTTAGAATGTATGCTTGTAGTCCCAAAGCTTGAATCTTTTCCTTCAAGTCGTGTTTGCTGATATATAGCCTGCCACTACAAGAAAAGGACACTACTTGTCATATATCCTCACGCCACCACGCATGCATGGATGCACACACTTCTAAACACATTTTTATGTATCAAGTATTTTTGTTAACACGGTTTAGCATAAACAACTTTTGCTCTTCAGAGGAAGCTTATACAGGATAATTCATCGTCCACAGTGCCAAATTGATGAAAAGCGTAGAATCAAAATGGCTCTTGATGTGGTAAGAAATATACATATACATCTATATTATCAACTTATTGGCCTTTGTGCCTTATTATTGTTTGAATGGCCTTTTCTGTAGGCAAAGGGGATGAATTGTTTGCATACAAGCATTCCCACAATAGTTCACCGGGACTTGAAATCTCCAAATTTGTTGGTTGATGAAGATTGGAATGTCAAGGTAATATACCCCGCTTCTTTTTATAACAGAAAATAATTGGGAATTTATAGGACATAAGTTGCTAAATCAGGAATACATAAAAGACATGAGATGAAATGAGATGTGTTTTAGTAAGTGAAATGTAGTGAAAGAGGACATAAAATTATGACTTTATTTTTTGATCCCTTCTTTGTCCAGCCTTTGCTTGGCACCTAGTAAAATCTACATAACATTTTGCTTGAAGATTTCGGTTACATAGATTCTCCACTCCGTTTTTGTACAATTTCTTCCTCATAAACTGACGTCGGCTTTTGTAGCATCACTAGTAGTATATTTGTCCACTCCGTTTTTGTAATGGTTCTTCCTTATAAACCGATGTCGGCTTTTGTAGTATCACTAATAGGATAGTTGTCTCTTTAAACATGCCTATATTAGATTACGGGTGTGTTAAAAACAATGTATTTTTAAAATGAAAATAAAAATGAATCTTCACAAACATAATTACCAATATTGAAAATCAAATATATTTGTTATATAACATATATATATATATATAGAAAGAGAGAGAGAGAGAGAGAGAGAGAGAGAGAGGTGGTTTCGTTTACAAACCCAACCATTAGTACAAATCAATCTCAACCGTTCATCTAGTCTAATGAATATCTAACTCGATGAATATCTCGATTGTTTTCTAATATAAAACATTGATCATAATAAATGAACTCTGATAATCTTCCTTAAATATCCACATCATAATAAATAAACTCTCATCATTTCTATAAATATCTCAATTAATTGGTTTGTATGGTTTGTTCTAATGGTTGGGTTTGTAAAAGATCTCTCCTATATATATATATATTTAACAAAATAAAAAAAATTAATTGGTTGTATTAGGGTCGGGTAGTGGCATCCCCAATCCTGCCCTCCCCCACTTCTGGTATCAAAATAATCCCCCGTCCCTTCCCCGTTAGGGTCACGGGTAAAATTTTCATCTCTAGGTGTGTTCTTCAGGATGTTTGACCATCATCAGTTGCCATCGCTTTAAGGCGTGTGTGCATGTTTATGTCTTTGTATGGATTGTTATATATGAAATGACAGTTCTAACCCTGCAGGTATGCGATTTTGGGTTGTCACGCTTGAAGCACAACACTTTCTTATCATCCAAGTCAACAGCAGGAACGGTGAGAAGTTTGATTATGTTCAAGAATGCACCATGTTGTTTATGTTTGCTGATAACATGTGGTCAAGGGGAATTTTACTAAAATATCCCCTGACCACATGTTTATCAATTTCCTATTTGTTGATGTCTACATGCTTTCATGAATGCCTTCCTGAACCCAACTCATCTTTGATTTCATAGCCCGAGTGGATGGCACCTGAAGTTCTGCGGAATGAAAATTCGAATGAGAAGTAAGTTTCTATAATCACCTGTCATTCTTTCATCCTCATCACCATAAAGTGATTTTGGATGATCTTTGTAGACACTTTTGCATGTATTTGAATACAAATTAACAAAATAAATCTCTTTTTGATCTTCAAAAATGTGTTAAGAATATAGGGCTATTATTGTCAATAATCACGTAGGGTTTATATAGGGCTATTATTGTCAGTAATCTCGTAGGGTTTCTTGTTGGCTTTTCTATGATTTCGGTCATGGCCCACATATGTAATATGTAAGTATAATTTTTCTCTATGTATTGCATATTTGATTTCATAAATACCGGAAAATTGTATGGTAGATTTTTATTTACCTAAATACCCCCACTAGTGAAAAGATTGAGAGAATCTTATGGATCATGGCCAAATCCTTGTTTTTGTTTTTCGTTTTGCAAGCCAGGGTCTTCACGGAAACAACCTCTCTACCCCTTGGGGTAGAGGTGAGGTCTACGTACCTCCTACCCTCCCCAGATCCTACCTCTGTGTGGGATATATTGCATTAGTTTAGTTTGCTACTCTTGTCTTATAATGATATATTGCATTAGTTTAGTTTGTGTTTGTTGTATGTACAGGTGTGATGTATATAGCTTTGGTGTTATACTGTGGGAGCTTGCAACTCTAAGACTGCCTTGGAGTGGGATGAACCCGATGCAGGTCGTGGGTGCTGTCGGCTTCCAAAATCGTCGCCTCGACATCCCCAAGGATGTCGATCCGTTGGTCGGAAGAATAATCTGGGAGTGCTGGCAGACGTAAGTCCTTCAGTGTCCATTGATGTGGGACGAATTGTTACAGTTTTTGTGTCGTTAACGCCCCGCCCCTACCCTGGCTTATCATGTTCAGTTTTGTTTTTTTCTTTTTCTTTCACTTGCAGAGATCCAAATCTAAGGCCTTCATTTGCGCAACTCACCGTAGCTCTAAAGCCATTGCAGCGACTAGCAGCTGTATCTTCACAAATTGACGAGCAGCAGGAGATTTGAGCAAGTTTTTGACCCCATGTTTCCTCTCGTATAAAAGCAAAGTTTATGAAATGAGTATATAATAGGAAAAAGGGGATGAAACAATAATCTGTATACCAATAGATTGTGCATAGTTTTGGGTGTATGTAAATACGATTCATAAAGATTTGACGACGTTTTCTTTGTGTTTGATGTTCGAAAATGGAAGCGAAGAAAGTTCAGTTTTTTCACCTAACGGTTCGTCTATTCTACCGGATTTTGTCCCTCAACTTTATATACTTGGTTTTTGTCTATTACGATTTTCAACGAATTCCGACCCTCGTCAAACGGTAGTTAACTTTTTTTGTTAAATCCAATTAAATATCTAATTTTAATAAAACTATACAAACTAATTATAGCCGTCCATCGAGTGTAGTAAATGTCTAATTCCATTTGGTTTTATAATCTAAGATCATGATCATAATAAATGAACTTTATCATTTTTCTTATATACATATATATATATATATATATACATCAATCGTGATTAATGAATCATGACAATTGTCTGTAAATATCCCGATTGTTTCTTTACATAAAAATTGATTATGGTTTGTAAAACTTGTTAGAATTATATGGTTTGCAAATGAAACGTCTTGTGTGTGTATGTATATATATAATATAAACATATATACTAGACAAATTACTTGTATACAAATGTGCATAACGTACGAATGAATGGTTATCAGGGTGTTCTTCAAATTTGATTTTTTTTTTTGCATTTTTAGTGATGCTACAAAAGCCGACATCAGTTTATATGTGTTTGTGTGTATTGAGGAAAGTTCAAATAAAAACTAATTTTCCATTGTGAATCGGTGGACAAATCTTGGCCATCCATCTCTATTTGATTCAAGAACTCATATTAAACAGGTTTTTTTAATTAAAATTTTAGTTAAGGGTGATTAGGGATAAAAAATAGATATATTTTCAATCAAGCTCACAATTAGTTATATGAATTTTTTTTTATTTTTTATTTAAAAACTTTTACCCCCTTAATTTTCAAACGAAAATCGTCTTGAAATTTACTAATATTTTCATTAAACAAATTACATAAAAAAATGAGAATTTCATTATGTTCTATATGTCATCAATGTTGGGATATTTTTTTCGTTTAAACCTTTTTTTACGTGAAATACTCATTATGAATATTCATGTACGTTTAAATGTGTATAATAGTTCAACATCGTAAGTCTGCAATTTGACATCACCTTTTTCAACACTTTCTTCAACGTTGTAAGTACGTAACATGACACTACGTTCTTCATGATTGTAACCCAACACTCATTGAGATTGATTGAGAACACGTCGAGACCGAGCGAAAACCTATTGAGACCGATCGAGAATCTATCGAGACCGATCAAGAACATATCGAAACCGGTCGAGAATCCATATATTGACTTGCAAACCACGTTATTTGTACAAACCCCATTCAACTAATCATAATTTTTCATTTTGTTCATTTTTTGTAATTATGAGAGGTTGATTAATCATTTTTATTGTGGAGCATGTTAATCATAGATATTATCATCTTTATTATTTTAATTTTAGAGAAATTTATTAAACAATTTCATTAAAATTTCATAACCATATATAAAACAATTTCATCAAAAAAGTATTATATGAAACAATTTCACAAGATTAATCAATTTCATGAAAAAATTTCATAAGAATAAAAAATAAAATCGACGGATGAGAGTGGTTTGTACGGTTTGTACAAATTATATGATAATACTTTATTTTATTTATTTTGATAGTACTTTATTTATTTTTATATATGTAGGGGCCTATTATATGATAATACTTTATTTTATATATATATATATATATATATATATATATATATATA